AAGCAACATTTAGCAGATATCAGAAAATAACGGCAACACTGAGATCAGAAAATTACAGCAACATTTAGCAGATATCAGAAAATAACGGCAGCACTGAGATCAGAAAATTAAAGCAACATTTAGCAGATATCAGAAAATAACGGCAACACTGAGATCAGAAAATTAAAGCACTATTTAGCAGATATCAGAAAATAACGGCAGCACTGTGATCAGAAAATTACAGCAACATTTAGCAGATATCAGAAAATAACGGCAACACTGTGATCAGAAAATTACAGTAACATTTAGCAGATATCAGAAAATAACGTCAACACTGAGATCAGAAAATTAAAGCAACATTTAGCAGATATCAGAAAATAACGGCAACACTGTGATCAGAAAATTACAGGAACATTTAGCAGATATCAGAAAATAACGGCAGCACTGTGATCAGAAAATTACAGCAACACTGAGATCAGAAAATTACAGCAACACAGATGAGAGATCAAACATTACTATGTCATCTTTTATAGAAGAGATCAGAAAATTATAACGGCAACTCTAAAAAAGAGATCAGAAAATTAGAAGAAAATGTAAAGTTGACTGTACCAACCTGCTATTTTCGTTCATTTTTGTCACAGCTACCGTTCTGTTCTTGTTACATTCCTCTATGTAATGTTCGATCTCTTTGTAGCTGGACACAGGGTACGACTGTAAACCTGCAACTTTTTTTTAAATTAGAAAGAACCATCTTGTACGTGAACTGTTTGCACTGTCCACTTTTTCAGAGTCATTTTTTTCAGATTGTTGATAAAATGCTAGCTGTCCATGATTTGAAAGTCGTGACGACTTTTTTCAATCAAATTTTACATCTCGATGAATAAAGTGATGATAGATACATTATACATGTATTTACATTACATCATATTTTTAAAAATATTGTGTTTCACTAGACTTGTTATATGTTTATAGGACAAACCTGCAAAAATTATATTTACAAGCCAATTTTAAAGTAATATATACAGTTTTTAGAAAATATGGCGGTCGTGTGGCGGCCATTTTATATTACCACAGAATCCGTATTTGGCAGTCATTCGTACAGGTAAACTATGATGGTTGTCATCATCGGAGTGAAGTAAGTCGTAAACTTTTTCATTGTAAATTTCAAACATGCTAAATGATACCTGAAAAATACAGATCTACAAATGAGCCGCGTCACGACAAAACCAGCATAGTGCGTTCGCGACCAGCATATATCCAGACCAGTCTGCGCATCAGCGCAGTCTGATCAGGCTCCATGCTGTTCGCTATCAGTTTCTCTACTTGTAAAGGGGTTGGTAAGCTAACAGCATGGATCCTGATCAGACTGCGCGGATGCGCAGGCTGGTCTGGATCCATGATGGTCGCAAACGCACTATGTTGGTTTTGTCGTGACGCGACTCAAATAGATGCTTTCCAACGCGTGAGAATCTATAAATTTAATATAAACAATGCCATTTACTGAAGTTCCCACACATATTTTTTTAATTTTATGCCCTGTTTTGATTTCAAAATTTGGTACTTTGTCTCGGATTTAGAGTATTTCCCGCTCTTTGCTACAATGTTATTTGTCTACTTTGTGATCATGTTTTCTGCAAGCGTCTGGTTAACTCCTTTTCATGATACCTCTTCACATTACTGTTTTCAGAAATTTACATTAGAAATAGAGATGTATGAAAATAATACAAGTTATGTTCTAGATTTGCAAATCTATCATCGTTTATTATTTGTGCTCCTGAGAAATATATTATTGCAGTTAGTGAAAGATTTTTAACATCTCAATTAAATAGTAAATACCACTTTATGCAAATGCACAGCGTTTGAACGTTTAATGTATTTAAAAGGGCCATTCAAACTAATAGCTTTGGTTGGAAGAATTTTAATAAATTGTAATTATAAGATATAAGATAAATAATATATATTTAAATTTTAGTTGGCAGATTACCTGGCATATCACGCCTGAATGTTGCCCTTTAGATGATATATCATCAAACATTCTCTCACATAACATTGGGACCATGCCTGTCACAAACACACATTAATAACTTTTGATATTGTTTTTAGCTACATAGACATTAAACAACGACTCAAAAAATCTAAAAGACCCATTATGCCTAAGAAATGCTTTTCTTTTTATTTCTGAAAAGCTTTGTAATTTTTGGTGTATTTTTATTATATCAAAAAGTTACTCATTGGCGAATTACTGGAACCATCTTTTACATCTGTTGCTTTTGAGCAATAAGTACAGGTATTTGTATGGAAGTCAAAAATACTATTTTGTTTACATTTTGCTACTTTTATGACAAAATTATTTCACATTTATCGCATGTTACCTATGTTATTAGGTAACAAGCATCTAACATTATTTTACTTGTTTCTGGGGCGAAATGCGTCTTTTATTTAACTTTTGGAAGGGAGAGAGGTACTGGCTGGTGTAAGAAATATTTATTTTTCAAAACCGTAACATAAAAAATTTCAAAGCCCTATTCCGACGTCTGTAGAAATAGCGATTTCAAATTAAGTTGACTTGCTGCCAAGTCATTGAAAAAAAATATATATATATATATATTGCTCAAAACAATTTTATCGAAAAGCATTAAGCTTGCAAACACAAACCTTTATTAAGTCCGTAACCAAGCATAGAATATGTTTTCCCGCTGCCAGTTTGACCGTATGCAAACAGGGTACAGTTATATCCCGACCACGCACTCTCCAAGAGACCGACTCCCAGATCATCAAAGAGTTGCTTCTATAAAAAGAATTAAAATGATACATGTACAAAACTGAGTGTGTTTATTTTGGTGTCGGTTGTCGTTGTTGTTATTTTACTTCATTACTTTAAAACAAAAATGTCAATTTTACTATCGAATTAAATATATTCTATTAACTAAACAAAAACGAAAGATAGAAAACGAGTTTATGGCCGGACAAAATTCTGAGATTTTTTGGTTATACTTAAAGAACTTTTATATCATAGCATACTTTACTTTATAATAGAGATTCATCTGTCTAGAAAAGCATGTGTCTTAACTAACAGTTTCAGATATATCATCAAATAAGCTTGAATGGTTATACATGACAAAATTAGCTATATCTGTATGAATTTGGGTTGGAATGAATAATATTATATCAACATTATATATATCTACCTGGTCAACGTATGTGCACCCGTCACGTGATTTTAAATATCCATCCTCTGCTTCCTCAAACCCATCATGTGACCAGTATGAAAAATCGTAGGTAAATTGTCTGGGTAGGCACATCTTGTCATGTGGGTTCGAAACAAAGGTGGCATTATCTACCATGGATATTGTCTGACGACAACCTTTAGTCTTCTCACGAGTGTTCTACATTACTCAGTTAAGAATACTTGATATATTTGTAAATCAAATATATGATTGATTGCCCTTTTAAATATGTAAGTGTATATGCTAACATTTAACAAACAATCATATCAATGACAAAAATACGGAAAGTTGGCAATATTTTGTATTCATGCCTGCTCAGTGGAAAGTGATTGTTTTAATATGCGCATATGAAATTGTGATGCAAGTGTTCGAAATATGTTTCATATCATACAGGAGAATGTGATATCCCCTTTTATCAGTGAAACCGATATAAAAGGTTTAAGAAAATACAACAGTAATCATAAGATGTGCTGCTTTTACCAAGGTGCATGCACACGTAAATATTTTAAACGCTTAGCTTTTCGTTCAATAAAGTCAGGATGATTGGCAGATGGAAACTACAGAAAGAGGCAATATCTTATTCATCCGCTGTAAACGTTGAAAACTAGCATGGTAAATGCCTTAATTTATTCTAATGTAATCTAAATCGTTTCTTCTGTGTTTGAATAAATGCTGTTTTATCTGGCACACAATATGTCCTGAACACAATTATGATCAAATAAAATAAAATTTGTAAAAGTGCAATGACAAATGAAAACGTCACATACTGAAGTTATAGAACTTAAGTAGGAAAACATGTCAAAGTTCACATTTTCATCAACATCATCATCATCATCATACAATAAATAATTATTTTCCCCTCTAAAATGAGGACAATAAAGGATACAAATGGTCTCACCCGGACGGCAACTTTAATATTTTCCAGTTTTACCATTTTATCCTTCCAGCTATACACCCTGCGACCAAATAGTACTTAACTTGACCATTAAGGAGAAATATTCTTTCATAGGTATTTATTACACTTATTACAAAAACGAGAAAATCATGCATAAATAATAACGTAATAATCGAGTTATTATTGCCCTTGTTGCTGATAACGCTCGGAACTATCCTAATGTACTTTAAGGGTTAACTTGAATCAATTATACATAAAAACTTCTAATACAATGTCATATATAACGCTTTAAGTTCCTTCCTAACCTGCTATCAGTGCAGACCAAAATAAGCTAGCACATCTGTACAGACTTATCATGGTCTGCATTGTTCACTGTTTGATATTCAGTTAGTACTGAAAATGTCCCTTTAAAGGTGAATGGTTTTATTAAGATGTTGAAGCTCCACACTAAATATAGTATTCCGGTATATACCGGACAAGGCGCTTGAACGCTTAAATGCTAAAATCCGTCGAAAAAAATAGTCTGTTCACACCGATTTATATACGATAGTGAATGAAAAATGTAAGAATCGGCGAAAAAAACCGATATTTTTCTATGTTGCAGTCATTATTTCAGCAAGAGTCCAACACTTTTTGAGTTAAATATGATATAAAGATGTTTCATGGGCTGTATGTCCCGATATAAATTTATATGGCAAGTGTTATATAACAAAAACGGCCATATAACCTGTCAAAAATCTTTACAATTTTAAAATACTGCACATTTCTTTTTCTTTTCCTTTTTAAAGAAAACTCAATATATACACGTGTGGAATATCCAATGAAATTTGACGTTACAATCGATCGAGCAGTAAAATGACGTCACAATATGTTTTGACGCCGATAACGTTGTTGCCATTAACTAACTTACATTACGTCATTTGTGTTTTTGGTTACAGATATGCGGACTGTAAATACAGTGCAGTAAAACTTTCTCCGTGTCTGTATCAATAAAGAAAGACATCATGAACGAAATAGTGCCGTAATATATTGTAAATTTCACTGACTGGACGATATTTTATTCTAGCCGTGTATATAAAACTAAATTGATACAAAATGTGGAAAACAATGAAGAAAATAATTGCTGGGGCGGAGAGTGAAGCTGAAATAATAGGGGATAAATCTGCCAGTCCAAAAATTGAGGAAATTCCTGAGGAAGAGACAACTAAAGAAAGCACGCCGATGCCGAAAAAGAATTTACGTAATTCACGTAAGTGATTTTTTCTAATTTTTTATTATTAAATTACAGGCGTTTTAAGGAATATTGGAAGTTCAAATTAAAGTAAGATAAGTGAGGGGAAGGATGTTGATAACTATATTTTTCAATAGATATTCAATATTTGCACCGTAGAAATATACACATATACACATTGTCAAATAGATTATTTCAAATTTTACTTTTATAGTAATTTATATGTGACAATTACAATGCCGAAAGTAACTTCTAGATCTACACATTATTTTACAATGGTGAATAATCAATGGTACATGTGACGGTACAACAGTTTTGTTGTTGTTGTTGATACCGATTCGTTTATCTAATTTCAAGTTCTAATCCATACACAAACACTTTCCCCCATGCGTTCATTTAGCATACCTATCTGTACTTATTTACAGTATTGTTACAGTGGGCTCATTTATAAATCATAACATTCATTGATTTACCGCATGGGAAATTAGGTCGCAAGAACTTGTTAGATCGTTAAACATAACAAGATTTACATGTATAAATAACGTACATGAACATTAACTTTTACCTAGTGTACCTACGATAGAAACTTTATGTTTTTCTATCAATAAAGATTATATGTAAATTATATTTTAAAACTCTTTTTTTAAAGAACACATTTTTACTTCTTTAGGAAGGGCAAACATAAAAACATAAATTTTATAATGTTTACTATGGTGGCATATTTCTGCCACCAGATAACCTGATAACAAACTAGTTAATTAAGAGGTTAACTAGTTACGTAACTAGTTAACCTGATAATTAACTAGTTAATTATCAGGTTAACTAGTTACGTAACTAGTTTATTTTTTCAATAAAGAAAAGATCATAACGGGAAATAAATGCATGTTAGTGCCTGCAACTGCCATCCTTTTATTATATTATCATCTTAAAATTAAGAGGTTAACTAGTTACGTAACTAGTTAACCTCTTAATTAACTAGTTAATTATCAGGTTATCTGGTGGCAGAAATATGCCACCATAGTTTACATAATGGTTTTTAAAATGTTAGATGTTTGTTACCTGAAGAAATTAGCGATAAATGTAAAATAATTTGACATAAAGGTAACAAAAAATGTAAACAAAATAGTATTTTGAATTCCATACTAAGTATAAATTTACTGTAACTGTACATTTAGCAGCAGGTGAAAAATATGGTTCAATTAATTGGCTAATGAGTAACTTTTTGGACACTAAAAGTTCATCAAAATAAAAAAGCTTTTTAGAAATAAAAGCATTTATGAGGCATAACGGGCCTTCAAAGGAGCTAGCTCATTGTTGCATTGAAAAACTATAGGCAACAATGCTCCTTGTAAGGGGGGTTTAACTCCTTAATGCAAATTTGAAGAATGAATAATTTTGTGAATTTATCTGTTTCCAGAGTGTATATTTTTTACTGTTGTTGTCGGTTTTGATAATGACGATGATGACAAAAACAACAACAACAACAACAACAACATTAATGATAATGATAATAATATCAATAATACATGTAATAATAATAGTAATAATAATAATAATAATAATAATAATAATGATAACATTAATGATGATGATGATGATGGTGATGATGATGATGATGATGATGATGATGATGATGATGATTGATAATAGTGATAATAGTGAGGATGTTGCTGATGCCGCTGATGACATTATGTAATGATGATGATGATGATGCTGATGATGATGATGATGATAATGATGCTGATTATGATATTATAAAACAAGGATAATGATAATAATAATTTTCTGTGTGACTTATTATATATAAATACTTCAGCAAGAAGCCGTACACCCATGGGAACCCTCATTGTACCAGAAGGCGGAAAACCTCTAACAACTCTTGGTATATATAACTTTCATACTGGGCATAAAGATCAAAATGAGTAAAACTTTATTTGAACAGTTTTAGTTTTCTGCCATTAAATCGCAATTTATTACATAATTGGTTAAACATTATTTGCTTGCTTTTCTGTTTATTTGTTTATCTAATCCTATGTTATACTAATTCTGTCCTCTTTAGCTTATTTCAATAATGACTCGGTGTTTTTAAAGAAATGTTGTTACTATGGTAACCTGTTTTTATATACATGTAGGTATATCATACCCAGGACCATCCGACTACCTCCCTAAAGTTAATATAACCAAGCAAGCTGCACCGCAGTATTCGCTCGTCGGCAAACCAAAACGCCCAGACGGTAAATTTATGAAGACTTTCTATTACTTTTTTTTTGTTTGTTTTTTATTATAGAACTCACGATGAGACAAAAACGTTCTTGCTTTTACAAATGCATGTTTTAGTGTACTTTAATTATTCAATTCACATTTTACTGAATGTGTCGCGTGTGCGTATATCGTTAGTGTGAGCTTTTATATCTCAGGGAGTCATTATCCTACAAATAAATTTGATCATATATCTTGTACTTTATGTGATCTAAGGTAAAATAATGCTATACTAGCAGAATTGTAGGGATAGTGAAAAAAACACAGGAGCATTCAAGATACCGGTAATAATAATTCATTCCGAATCAATGACTCGATGTGTATTTAAACCTATCAAAAGTATTTCATATTTGCTTACTTTACAGAAATTTGAAATAAGAATTAATTAACATAACTATTTCATTAATGTTTTATCTTCCTTTCATTCAGTGACTCGTGACATTCCTGGACCATTTAATTACAACTGTTCGGGCGATATTATTTGGAAGAAAAAGAAAGTGACACTGAAAGGCCGAGAGAAAAGTCATTTTGAAATGGAAGGTAAGGTATCAGAACGTTTATGGCAAACAATCTAAACAAATTTCAATCATTTTGAAAGATACATTAAGTGATAAACTGCATGCACATTACTATATAACATTACTATATATAACAGTTTCCGGACGTAGTTACAAATAATTCAAAATGAAAGAAATATCAATGAATGAATAGCAAAATAATACTCTCATTGAACGTGTTTTGTAAAAATCCACACGTCAGAACATGAAAAAAAAAACCGGACAGTATTTTCCACAACTTCTTAACGATTAAATTGACTTTATAATACTTCATCATTTTTTTATTATATTTTTTTATAAAAGTCATTAATAAACATGTTTTTCAGCCGAGAAGACTGCTAGTGTATTGGGCAACTACAAAGTTGACTACCGGGCAACAGGAAAGGACGGTCCAAAGTTTAAGATGGGAATTAGACTTGACAGCAAGATAGTCCAAGGTCCTGCTAACAGCTTAGTGCAACCAGTTGATACAAAAGGTGACACAATCATACAGTTCTTATTTGAGCCGCGTCACGACAAAACCAACATAATGGGTTTGCGACCAGCATGGATCCAGACCAGCCTGCGCTACTGCGCAGTCTGATCAGGATCCATGCTGTTCGCTATCAGTTTTGCTACTTGTAAGCGAACAGCATGGATCCTGATCAGACTGCGCGGATGCGCAGGCTGGTCTGGATCCATGCTGGTCGCAAACGCACTATGTTTGTTTTTGTCGTGACGCGGCTCATTTAAGTAGCCATATAACACATATTCTAACACGACCTGCATTTTTCCCTAATGAACATAGAAGAACCTTAGCTGTTCTACAGAAATTAGAAACATTCTTCTGTCGCTATCGCTCCCGTCGAAGTTTCTAATTTCTGTAGAACAGCACGGATGAACACTAACATATACATAAAATCACTGTTTGACGTTCTATATTTAGACATGTGACGTAATCATAATATATCAAACTCCTCACACTGATTACCTCCCTTGGCAGAATTGTAATCACTGCCTTCACAGACGTCACATGATGATGAAAGTCACATGACGTAACGTCGAAATTCAAATGTAAATATCGACCGTTACATAGAAAAATCTAACGTCATTTTTCTCTTTCTGTTTTATTTTTAACTTTTTGTACCTATGTCCGTTATATTTTAACAAAAAATTATCAAAAGTACACAAAATAATGAAAAATAAATTAAAAAGCTAAAAAATATAAATATCCAAATTTGGATATTTCAATGTTTGTGATGGCAGAGATCTCTGTACTGATAAGGGGAGATCACTGCGTAGGAGATTGATAATATATGTGACGTAACCACTATAAAATCCGACGCGCTGACAATAAGTACGGACACAAATCAGGCGCAATTTTGCTTAATAGCAGGTACGGCAGCATTTATTTGTTTATGTCGTGCTAGAATCGAAATAATATATCCAAATCGGTGATTTTATCGCTGGATAACATCACTGTTTGTCGTTCGGATGCGCATCATTATATCACTCGGGCTACGCCCTCGTGATATAATTTTGGGATATATTATTTCTTAAATAATATTCTGATACGAATACCACCTTAATTTGCAATCAGAATTATTTACGCTTGGTACATTTTAATCTAGAGATTCAAAATATAGGTTCTCTGCTTCACTAAGACATGTTGAGGACAATAGTTTACGAAAGAAGATTAATTCCCCTGGTTTACCAAAGCAACTAGACACACCTCTCTCTACGGCACTTGATTTCTTAATTCGTTTGGACCCACTGGTTAATTAAAGCAGCTTGAGGTCTTTGGTTCCCCGCTCTAAAGCTTGAGCCCCCTGGTTTACCAAAGCAGCCTGGTATCAAAAATTCAGCTGCGGGAACAGACTGTTGCGCGGTAATAATCATGAATTTGCCGAGAATTTGAATATTTTGAAATGAGATTTTGATGTCTTCTTCGCTATAGTTATTATTGACATATATATTTTTTCCAGGTGTCGACACTCCTGGTCCGAACTACAGGCCAAACTCCAGCTACATTGGTCATGGCCCAAAAAAGTCGTTTGGTGTAAGATTTAAAACCAAAAATCCTAAAGGACCCGGTCAGTACAAATTATCAACCACAAATTTTGTTGATTATGATATCGGAGTAAATAGACAAAAATGTACATTTATATGTCTCAAATTCAATGTTTTCCTATTTTTGTGTTTAATTTTTATTTATATTTATTTATTCATTTATTATTTATTTATTTATTTATTTATTTATTTTATTTAATTTATGCAAATGAAGTGCCGGGAAGCAATCGCATCTTCTCGGACCTTTCCGTCGGATAAGTCGGATAAGAACCTGAAGACAATAAGTAAGAAAACACATAACAAATGTATACGGTATTTAGGTCTAATCTACGCTAAGAAACTCAACATGTCAACAAACAGTAATTTAATGCTAGGTGTCTATGACTAGATTTTTACCAATATATCGAGTAAACAACCTGAATTAAGTATATTTAAAGATATAAATGTAAAACAATACATTATTAATAGACATATTTTCAATAATAGTTTTACCGAAAGACTTGGTCAAAAATATACAATCGTTATACATTATCAACAAGAAAAGCATTGATGCAAAGCATCAAAGGGTGTCCATGCAAGATATACAGCAAGTGAAGACAACTTGTAGACATCTGATGACCAGATATTCTTATAAACTTTAAAATGGTTAATTGGTTTTTACCAGAATTGTATAATATTTATGAATGGGCGGACGAAAGACATTGTTAATCATGAACTTTGGTAGGCATGCTAGAAATTAGAATATTATTTTTTTCCACAGGAGCTTGAAATTCTATCAATATTAACGGTAATATCCAAAATATACAGGTCTATAATACCCAAAGTGCAAATTAGTTGTTTGAATATGTTTCATTTTTCATATTTCATTTCCTGCAAAATTCTCCAGTTCGTTATTTATAACTATACGCTACACGAATGACCGTTTCGTTAAACTAAAACTACTTCTTTAAATAGATTTTCGAACTTTCACAATGTTAAGGTCATCATTCTATTTATAGGTACAGCAATACACAATAATCCACTGTGTGTACTACAAAATGATTAATAAAAAAACACCGAAAAGCGCGATTAATTGACGGATAAGATAATTTCATTTATATATGTTTGCATTTCGAAATTCTCCAGTTCGCTATTCATTGTTCGCGACATTTCATTTTTGATAATCAAACACCCTCATACCAATCGGAATGATCGGCTAATATGACCGACGAAAAGGCCCGACCTTTCACAAAATCTGATTTCATTTCATAAGGGGGCTCGCATAATATAATTTAATTCAACTCGTGCAATAAATTCAGTATTGAACTTACACTCATTCAATATCCTCTATTTATGAAATGATTTTGCTTTTACATCTATCCAATTACATGATTTTCATAAATGGCGAAAACATCTACTGTGAATAAATAAGTTATAAAGATCAAAAGTTACACAAAAATAAAAATAAAATAAATTTAGAAAGTGGCACTTATTCTTTATAAATTTATAATTGTTCCGTATAGTTTTATTGTTAAAATCGAGGAGATGGTTTACCTTCCCTAAAAACTTGACCTTGACCTCTTGACCTCTCAAATGACCACCATGACAAGGTGCTAAATTGGACGATATGCGCTGAATTTAGGATTCGAGTACTTGACCTAAAGGTACAAATGTACATACTTTTTTTAGAATACCGGGAAAAATGAACTATTAATAAAAAAAATAATATGAAAAAATGATAGCATTTATGTAAAATGAAATAATAAATGTTGATAACATTTTTTATCAAATGACATGAAATATTTAATCGTTCTATAATCTACAGCGAAATGACATAATGCGAACACTCCGTAATTAAGTCATTGAATTCTTAAATACATTTACATTATTTCAAATTGATCAATACATTTTTAAAACTAACTTTCACTGACTTTATACGCTTGTTGATTTTATATAGTTTTGTTTGACTTAAGACGGAATTCAATATGGCTACATTGAATTCCAATATTTAACTCCATTATTTTAACTAACAGAAACGTTTTAAATCATGAAAGAGCATTGTTTTAAGACAATGTGAAAAATGAAAAAAATTCGTCAATTTTACATTGTAAAGATCTTGTTACTTTGATTGTTTTTGACATTTAAATAACTGAGTGCCTTTGTTTCAACTTGGATATTTTTAATTCTGATTATATATGTATCTCCATATGTTTTTAATTAATAGCAACAATTTACTGAAAGGATGTAGATTTATTTAACGGTGCGTATTTAAAAATGATATTTATGATTATTTTCTTATATGAAATTCAAAGTAAACGTTTGGCACATAAGGCGCCTATAATGAATGCGTGTTCTAACATTTCATACTTCGTCGCATATTCATATTATAACATTTCATATAGTCAGCATGCGGTGTAAAAATCTTTTATACAAGTTTAAATTACAGTTCAAAAATATATTGCTAACAATATTATTCTATATAATATATAATGATGGACCTAAAAGATAAAATATACACTTTAACTTGTTGCAAATGAGCTCAGACATTTACACTATCGACATACCAAACTTCGAATGTCTTCAGGTGTAAGCAATCTTTAGACATCCAGGATATATACATGTACATTAACAATTCTTATTTGTTTGTTAATTAAATGTGCGATATAACAAAAGGACAAAGTTATCGTTTTAACAACACATTTAAATGGTATTCTTAGAATTTACCGAATATTCACAAAACAAAATATATATAAAGCTTTTGATGGTTTTCTTTCACGAATATATGTGTATACTTATCTTTGATGAGTTAGAAATACTCAATAAGAGAACCAAATCAACTAAAAATTAAAAATAGGGATCTATTTTCTTTATTTAAAAAGAAAGCTCTACTTTTCGTGTTATTCCATGCTCAATAATGCCGGAGGAACAAAACTTAGTGTTCATGTTAAATTATATATGCTTAATTCACGAATTCGTACATGTGTTCATGTCATTTATAATAACAAAATGAAATGAAAATAACTTTACTGATTGCAGTTTCTATGACACTCGTCTTATACGAAATATTTTGTGTTCAAATGTTTGTTTTTGTACTTTCTGTGATTGTCATTTAATGATCCACCGCTAGGATTCTTGCCTTATGCACGGAATCTATTATCGTTTAGCATTTTATCACGGGCGTCACGGGTTTTAGTATATCTATTTTATCACTTACCACGCTAAATATCTTAATTGAACTTGTCCGTCTTTCGATCTGGACAAAAACTATTCAACATTTTAAGGAAAATTTCAAAATATGTACTAACTGAATAATTAATAGACAAACAATGATAAGGCGTACCGAATTACTTCGGTCTGTACTAATCATAAAGGTGGAATTTGATGTCACGTGCAGGTTAATGGTCAATAAATCATTACTATTACTGGTCTGCTTAACCGTCAATTTTTCTATAATTTTATTCATGTGAGTTGAAATATTATTTTAATTTGTTGACATAAATCGAAATACATATATGTACTAGTATTCTCTTTATCATTATAACAAAGTTGAATGCTTTTTCCCTCTTGAGGATTTTTATTACAAATAAGACATATTATTGGTATATCTTTTCAGGTCCAGGTGATTATGACGTACCCACAACACACCGTGGCCCCTCCCATTCGTTTGGGATAAAACTTCCGGAACCCTTGAATTGTACAGCAAAGTGTGTGCTGACTTTTTTTACAAATGTTAACAAATTGTTATTCATAGATTACATTTCAGTACTGTACAATTACACTTTAAATATGGACAATTTATAGAATTACTAAATAGATAAAAATCAGGAGAAGTTTTCTTTTCTCAATCACAAAATACAATTATGAGTGCTTGATTAGCGGTGACTGACCGTTACTGGATACATATGCCACAGAAAATTGTGATTCATTCAGTTATAGCCTTTATTAATTTTAAGACCGGGCTAACAAGTGAACTATTCCCATGTCGTAAACTTGTTGCACAATTTCTGTAATGGACTTACCCTGTTTGGAATTCGCGTTAAAGGGATTTAATTTTCTGATAATGGTGTTTAGATTAGTTTTACTCATCCTGGAAATTTCGTCTGGTATAGAGTGCCAGATGAATCGCGTACTCTAAAATTGTCGTTTCGGTGCATTTTATGAAAGGATTAAGTCTGCATGCCTCGTGTCCGCACAATGGACAAATTCCCTCGGACGGATTTTCCGATCCGGACCATGCAGGCAGCAATAAAACAGCCTCGTCAGATTTCTATCTTAGACAGTAACGCAGCCAGGACTGTAAAGTTTCGCGTATTTCTTTAATTCAAATTAATATACAATTCAATATATGAGCCGTGCCATGACAAAACCAACATAATGGTTTGTGACCAGCATGGATCCAGACCAGCCTGCGCATCCGCGCAGTCTGATCAGAATCCATGCTGTTCGCTATCAGTTTCTCTACTCGTTATAGGGTTTGTAAGCGAACAGCATGGATCCTGATCAGACTGCGCAGTAGCGCAGGCTGGTCTGGATCCATGCTGGTCACAAACGCATTATATTGGTTTTGTCGTGACACGGCTCATATAATATTTCAGGTGTTAACAAGTTCAGTCCTGCAGCAAACACGTATAACATAAGAACAACGATCGGTAAAGCTCCTGCAATCACGATATCTGGTAGAGGAAACATATCTTCGTCAGGTACTGTATTACTAACGATACTGATATCTAAAACAACTTTTCTTTTCTCCATATACTTATAAATAGTAATAGCAAAATTTAAAACTTATATCATGACACTGACACTATCATTTACTTTTTTCAAAACCAATGATAACTTAATCTGTTTTGATTGCATTGCTTTCTTATGGTCTATAAATTGAATTGCGTACCAATCTTTATAATTGCGTTTTAATAAGTTATTCCCTAAAACTTGTAAATGAATACTTATTGCGTGGTCCAGATCTACATAGGCCGTATTCGAACCAGTTATCTGTATTTCGAAGCGGTACTGCCACAAGGGTGAGATTTTTATTTAAAAAAAAAACACTTGTAGTTGCAGTTATGATAGTTATAAAAACACTGTATATGTTGGTACTTAACGTACTCAGATTAAGTTGAAATGACACACATGCATATAACAAGTTGAATGATCATTGAGTGACGAAAACTGAATATCGCTTAAGCCGGTGCCGGGGGAGATGTTCTACATTATCTTTTATAATCAGGCCCAATCATATAGAGCCTGTAATTGTCATATAAAGATTCCCCTGGATCATCCCTTTACCAGATTGTTTTTTACATTGGAACAGCATTGTTATGACTTATTTTCCGTTTCGTTTCCTTTTTTTCCCCTTTATTTCTATTTATTTCTATTCTTTTCTTTGATGTACCTCCATTGAATGATTTCTTCTGTGATAATTATCTCTGTAGGCACTCGCTCAATTAACCTAAAACAAGAACTGGGTTACAAGGAGTATGTTTAAAAAGCCAAAAACAATGCGCCTTCCATTGTATGCTTTACTTTGTTGATCATTAACTTGTTTTAAATCTCCAAAAAGTCATTTAAAGAAATTTGATACTCTCTTAAGCGGTTACAGATCACTATTTTTTGTTGTGTTTATATGTCATTTTAATACGCACTGTTTAACATATCAAGTTTTTGAAGAAAAAAATACAATAAAAAAAGAAAGAAAAAAATACACTGGCATTAATTTGTAGCAACAAGATTTTGTGCCAATGATATACCACTTTTAATGACTTTCTGATAGGAAATAATAGTAAAATATTGTCCTTTTCAGTACTTTCTTTCTTTTGTCATACTAAAATTTAATGAATTAAATCAATGAAGTTATTTGACGATAGCAAACATTCTTGATTTACTTCACAGTACAATATGCTTTATGATACTAGTATCTGGATAAATCAATAACTCAATATAGAAATAATTCAATACTTAGTCAAATAGTCTTGATAGACCAAGCTTTACATCATAATCCCGGGGTCGTTGGTTCAAACCGTACATGACTCCGTGTTTGTCAGTAGTCAGCACTTCCGGCTAGCAGGAAACTTTATACACTCAACTCAACCCATACCGGGGTATTATTGGAAAACATTCTCTCACATTGGAGCTATACCATTGGCCAATTTCAAATTTAGCTTCTGAATTAACCAACCACATGAAACGGTTCTAATCTGATTTCCAAAAACTTTAAACAACATTAACTTTGATATATTTAGAAAAAAACGGGTATTTTTTCAGTTGGAATTGCATTAAAAGGATAAGTGAATTCTTTGAAATAATAGTGTATCCGTTCTTATCTTTTTCTTGATCTATCTATCTATTCTTCATATCTTTATCATTTCTCACTATATCTAGAGTCAAAGGTACCATGCCCAACCACTTACAACCCAAGATATACTTGTTCCAACGACAAGTATAGAGCCGTGACCATGACCTATAGATGGTTCGACACAGATGGTAAGGTTATTTGTTGTAACTTCAAGTATGGTGTAAAATAAGGAATAAAATACAGAAATCTTCTGCGTAACTGACTCGCTGTATAAACTCTTAATCGACAAAAAATTAGAATCTACGGTCCTTTCAATTAAATATTTACCTGTTAATGATGTTCTGTATTTTATTCTTTATCCTCAGCACACAATTAAGATGCATTGGCAGTGAGAATTGAATGTTTAAGAATGAAACAGATATACCATTTGTTTCATTCTTAAAATATTTTATTAATTTCATCGCCGATGCTATATTAATTGTTATAATGATATTGAATGTATGTGTAAATGTTGTTAGCATGTTTAATTGTAACATTTTAGAATGGGAAAGAAAGGCGATACACCGAGGTATCAGCGATTCCAAAGTAGGTCAGAGGGTAGTATGCCGACACAAAGGTCACCTATAAGTGATGTCGGGAGTGTCTCCCTACCTAGCATTCGGGGCGCTTCGCGGATGTCGATCAAAAGCCACCGTAGTAATATGGGATCACGAATGCACCTTCCCTCCGATTTTGATACCCCAGGACCTGACTCATATAATATCAAATCTACTATAGGCACAAGTCCGGCGCCTTTATTCAAAGGTGACAGGTCAAGGACATTTGGAAATGCAAAGTCATCAAATGCAGTGTTCTTGTTACCGCGACTGGCAAATGCCACACCAGCGCCAGGTGCATACAACTTAGGAACCAGCATAGGTAAAGGACATACATCCACGTTTGGGCATGCCAGTCGGCAGTCAAGGTTTGCTGGAGATCGTAACAACAACGCCGTCTTCTTGTTGTCGAAATATGATGACCCTAGTCCAGCGCCTACAAGATACAACATTAAGTCTTCTCTTAGTGACCATACATCATTTCTAACAAAAGAAAACAGCTTGGCGCCTGGGGCGACTTTTTCACGTGCTAAAAGGGACGCGCACTTTGCTGGAGAGAGAAACGCGCGTTTCCTGTTACCTAGGACAATTCCTAAAAACCCACCACCCACTTCTTATAAGACTGAGGATTATTTATCAGTGGGTAGAAATACAAAGGGTTCAACGTTTGGGCGCGAAAGACGTAATGCTCGTTTCCCTGGGGATACCAGGGCCAAGTTTTTGCTTATGGAAAGAATGGACCAATTTAAGAGACCCCATTCCTTTTCTCAGTACAGTACAGACTACTAGTTAGATAGATTATGAAATAATTTTAACGAAACTGTGATATTTTTGTGTTGTGGTTTATACGTCGTGATATTTTTTTTGTAAATTCATATTTTATTATTTTATGTATAACCATTGCCAGTATGTAAGCCATTATAATTCCTGCTTTATATTTGAAGAAAAAAAGAAATGTTGAGATTAGTTTACAGAGAGAAGAAAAAAAGAACAGAAAGAGTTTGAGATTCTATTTAAAGCATTATCGGTTAAAGCTATTTATTTTACGTTGCGTTAAAATACTGTCGTTTTCTCTTTTTTTTTCTTTAAAATGTATTGGATATGTACACACTAGATTTTTATACAGTCACGTACAAAGATATGTTCTATGCTTCAATATGTATAATACTCGTATTGTACCTTGAAAAGTTTTCATGTAAATCAAAATTAGACATGCATACTGAAGAATTATCGGTGAAAAACACAATTTTTTTTATAAAACATGTGGGCTTTATGACAATTCTTTATAAAAACACGAGGACTTTAAGACATTTCTTTATAAAAACACGTGGAAATTTTGACAATTCTTTATAATACACTTGGACTTCATGACAGTTCTTCATTAAAACACGTTGACATTATGGGAATTCTTTATAAAAGCACGTGGGAATTGTTACAATTCTGATTGAATGAATGCAAATTGCAACTAACTTGCATTTCCTTTTTAGTATGTGTTGATTTAAATATTTGTGTTAATACATCTAAATGTTCACTTCCATATTTATTTAAGATTTGTTTCAAATAAATTACATGTTGTTTACAATTAAGCTATCAAAATCATCCTTCTTAACTTTCGAAAATATGCCATATAACGCACTTAAATAAATTATATTTCATACATGCATTGTTAATTTTACACAAACAGATATATGCTTTCAACTCCATCAGCATCAACTGATTTTAAAAGTTTTTATCAAAATTGGAATATCAAAACTTACATGTATTTGATAATTTTGTTGTCAATTCTAAAAAATCGTCATGTACTCCAGACGTCATGTGAAAAGATCAGTCGTTAGTAATTGTGAGACTGTCTTTATTTGAGCCGCGTCATGACAACACCAATCTAATGCGTTTGCGACCAGCATGGATCCAGACCCGCCTGCGCATCCGCGCAGTCTGATCAGGATCCATGCTGTTCGCTTACAAACCCTATAACACGTAGAAAAACTGAAAGTGAACAGCATGGATCCTGATCAGACTGCGTGAAACCCACTGACTGAATCCGAGCTATAACTTTAACTTGTTGGTTAACAATTATGATACCGACCTTTTATGTTTAAAAATAGAATCTTATTTAAAAATTTAAACGGTTTTGTCAAGATGCTTTGTTTCGAAGGCTAGACTTTTTTTTATTACTGTATGTATTGATGACGCAATAATTGCATAAATTAAAGTTGTGTATATAGAAGAAGACACATTATGTACATTGACTACTTTACTATTATCCTTACAGAAGTACAATTTTAGACTTAGGTAGATACATGAATATGGATCTGAGGCATTTCAGATTTTCTGTCAATTAAGATTTTTCATACGACTTACACGTGATTATTAATCTATTAACGATCAAACACGGACCTATTTCAGGGTTGCAGCTAACTGGTCCTTTCCGTAAAAGAGACCGCAACAGATTGATTATTACTATTAGTCCCCATTTAATTTGTGACCATTTATTCCTACGTATAATAATATTAAATCTTCCAACTTTCGTCTTTCTTACATAAGTCAAGAAGCCAGGTCCTGCCGATTATAATGTGAAGCACGTGAATCTAAAACGGAACCCAGTTTACACGTGCAGGCAACGCGTGAAGGGGTCATATCCAGATTTAGCCGCATATGATAAAGGTTGGTTTATAAAATTTTACGTTCTTTTTCATAACATTTTTTTACTCTTATTTTAGTTTATACAAATTTATTTTAGTTCGATTGTGTTGGAAGCTATAAGCTTATTGAAACACTCTCAAATCCGTTCCTGGAACCAACCAGTACTTAGCAATGAAAATAAAAAAAAATGTTGCTCAAGGAAACAACGGCTTACCCTTGACAGGGGTTGAACCCATGCGGTAAGAGCGTCTGGACGTCATTCTTGATTTCAATGTAAAAATGTACAAGGTTAGCTTTTAAAAAAGCTAGTAGCGACTCGCTTCGTAATTTTTTTCCAGGGGTGCGTTTAAATGTAAAAATGACAGTTCTGTTAACTGAAGAGACTTCAGCGAACATCAAAATAAAAGTGACATAAAGTTATGGAAGCCAGTTCTCTCAGTTTAACAAAGAAGAATATGAGTATATATGAAGATGCATGTAAACAGATAGAATGAAGTCCCTATGTCTATGCACATTTACTGTATGGCCTGTTGACCTTGACCAAATAAATGTTAGATAGGTAGAATTCATAAAGATGTCTCTTTTTACGAAGTTAAGTTGTAATATGTTATTTAGTATTGGAATGAGTGACAGACACAAGTCCTAAAGTAAACACAAGTTGTCAATCAATTCAGCCAGAAAAGCCGGGATCCTATTAAAAATATAGGGATCCCGGAAATTGACCAGTCTAAGATGTTTTTCAGATAAGCCGGGATCCTATTAAAACATATAGGGATACCGGGAATTGACCAGTTCAAGAATATAGTTTTCAGAAAAGCCGGGATCGTATTGAAATATATAGAGATCCCAGGAATTGGCCAGTTCAAGAATAAAGTTTTCAGAAAAGCTGGGATCGCGGGATTTGACCAATTCAAGAATGTAGTCTTTGATTTTTCCAATTAATTAGGCATATAATTATAAGTATTGGGATTTCCCCATTTTAAGTTAGTTAATAAATAGCTCTAAATATATTTATATCATAAGTTTAATTAATTTAACGTTCATAACATACAATAAAAAAAACTTAACGTTTAATGTCCTTTCATTACGACAATAATCAACACAAAAATAGTCTCTATATCTTTAACGATCCCGGATCCCGGCCAGTCCGGGCGTCCCGGATCCCGGCCAGTCCGGGCGTCCCGGATCCCGGCCAGTAAATATATACACTAAAAACCGGAAAGGATAAAATGACCGGAAAAAAAGGAAAAATAAAAAAAATGCACAGAACCAGATGTACACTTATGTTAATTAACCAAACGAAAACTTACTACAGAGGAACAGGTGAGGTCGCTAAATCAAAAGTCAGTGTAAATATGATTTATTGAAAAGAATTCATGAAAACAAACATTTTAATCATCATTATATCTTTGCGCTCAAAATAATACTTGCTGCTTTTTAAAAATGGCGTGAAAATTGAAGGTTTTTTGACGCTATGTAAGATTAAATTTGATTGACTAAATAATTTTGGATCCTAGCCTTGATAGATAAATTTTGTAGAAAGCTGGAAGCCAAGCTTCGATAAAATTTTTGGATGGATTCGGAGTTTTAGGTTGTTTTTCAGTAAAATCCTAACGTAATACCGGCAAAATTAAGAAAAAAACATATTTTTTGTTTATTTTCTACGTAATTTTCTATGATCAAAAAGAGTTGTAAGACAAAATTAAAAAATAAATAGATTTATAAACTGTAATAATAAACCATACATTCAAGTCGGAAAATGATCATGATTTTTTTGTGAAATCCGAAATCGATGACAAAATATTTTTTTTTTCTTCAATTTTAAGAATGAATGAAAATGAATATCGGCAACAGATAAAAAGTGTTTCAAAAACACGTAAATTTTGTTTAAGGCACTTATAATCTTTTCAGGGCGTGATATTAATCCCGGACCTGGTACCTACAATACGTCTAGAGATATTACCCACGGCCAGAAACCAGCATACAGCTTGGGGAAACGGCTAAAAACTGTTTCAGACAGTAAGTACTTTATAACCCGTTCTGGAAATTCAGTTTGAACATATTTATTAAATCTCGCTTGCAAAACAAGTTCTCGTAACTTATATATATTAATCACCATCTAGTCCGCTTCCTGGAACGAACCAGTACTTGTGTCATATAAAGAAATATGCTCGTGACCCGAATAGGGCTCGAATCCATGATCCTTGGGTTGAGAGGCAGACCTCTTAACCACGAAGTCACTGCTCCCAGTTTTAGTTGTTGTTCTCTCGATATAGAAGAAAGTTAAAAATAATGATGATAAAAAGAATCACGCGCTTACATATAGAAAACATATGACATTACACATTTGAGCGCACAGTCTGATCAGGATCCAAGCTGTTCGCTTACCAACTCTATTACAAGTAGAGAAACTGATAGCGAACAGCATGGATCCTGATCAGACTGCGCGGATGCGCAGGCTGGTCTGGATCCATGATGGTCGCAAACCCATTATGTTGGTTTTGTCATGGCGCGGCTCATTTTATCTACTATGCAAATTACCGTGTTATCTTGACTCGGTGTAATAATTAACATTTTTAGAGGAAAATATGCTAGAGTCTCGTTAACGCCGTACACAGTTACCCTCGAGCTAGATATTCCGTCTATACCGGAAGCCGGTGTAAGATCCTTATTAATTCGGAACTGCCTAGGATATTATCTATAATTATCTATATATTATCCTTATCCGAAGACTGACGGAAAGGGCCGAGTAGTTGCGATTGGATCCTTATTATTAACTACTGTGCAAATTCCGTTGTAATCTTTACTTTAGTAATCAATAATATTTTAGAGGAAAATATGCCAGGACCAAATGCTTATTCACCAGAAAAGAAGGACAAGCCGGGCAGCAAGAAGGCACCCTCATTTAGTATGGCAGGAATACTTGTCGCACCTAATAGTATGTATAAAGTCTTCATTCATAAAAGTTTAAATGTCAAAAATATTAAATATTAATATTAAATATTAATAATTTAATTAATACTTTAAAACTAAAACCTCTTAAGAATTCTTACTGTTAACATTTATTCTAAAAATATATGTCAGTTACCCACGGTATATATTCCGTACAACATACTTCATTATCTACGGAATATATACCGTGGGTAACCGGTCCAACAATAACGTGAAACCAACCTTATTGTATCAACTATATCTAACATTATATAGTAATGTGAAGTGAATTCTATTGATCTATGCCTAATAACTTCAGATATGAAAGCTTTCCCGGGGCCGGGAGAATATTCACCAAATGCAAAGGTGTATGAAACAGAAAAAGGAAAATGCACGATTGCAACTCGTCTCCGGAAAACGGAATGTAAGTGTAAAAATATTTTGCAAAAAATATAATAATTTATATGAGTCGCGTCACGACAAAACCAGCATATTGCGTTTGCGACCAGCATGGATCCAGACCAGCCTGCGCATCCGCGCAGTCTGATCAGGATCCATGCTGTTCGCTATCAGTTTCTCTACTTGTAATGGTGTTTGTAAGCGAACAGCATGGATCCTGATCAGACTGCGCCATGTTGGTCGCAAACGCATTACGTTGGTTTTGTCGAGACGCAGCTCATATTTCCTCAAGATATGATACATTGTAAATATAAAACAAATAAGTCGACAAAACCCTCATTGAAATCTGTATGATTTTACTTAATAATACAAGTTAATGGCTTAACCATGTTACTTTCTGTTACAAAGTTAAAGGCACATTATGCCTCAAAAACAAATAAATTTTTACTTCCTAAGAAAGGCAAAAAGGATTTTTATAAATAATGATTAAAAGAATGTTAGAGTCTTGTAACTTGAAGAGGAAGTAACGATACATGTGAAATAATTTGTCATAAAATGAAAAGGAAGAAGTATTTTGACTTTTATACAAAATACTTATCCACTATAACTGTACTTATTGCCAAAGAGCAACAGATGGAAACGATGGTTCAGGTTATTGGCCAATGATTAACGTTTTGGATACTATCAAAGAACACCAAAATTTTTAAAAGCTTTTGCGAAATAAAAATTAAAAAGTATTTCTAAGGCATAATGAACTTTTAATGAAGTTATGTTCTTTTTCAAATTCCCTTTCATGCCCCAATACCTTTAAGAGCTACTACTATTATATCAATATGAAACGAAAAAGGTCGTCTTCTGCTATCTATTGTCACATTTTATCTTTTATTTCAGCTTATGTGAATCCAGTGGCACCAAATTCATATACATTACCAGAGCTAATGACCGGCAAAAACAAGGGCATGGTATTAAAGTCCCGTGCTAGTCCGTATGTTTATTCCGGTTTCAGAACCAACAAAATTGTAGAGCCAATACCCCTTCCACCTATAACCAACTGAAATTCTCGAACTTGCAACTTTATACCGAAACATTTTTAAACGAAATAATAAATTTTACAAACTTATTTATCAATTTCTCAATGTTTTCAATGACTTTTATGGAAAAAAATCCATGAATTTAAATTTATTAACTAACGAATTTAACTCGCTACAGTGTTGGAACAGTACCTCTCGACGAATGACAGAAATCATGATTAAAGGTAGAGAAATTTCGCTTCCGGCGATTCTAACATTTTTCATTCATCATCGTATATTATAAATCGGTGTGAGGAGATGATTAAACCGCCTTGATCCTTTGGATCAGGTTAAATGGTTTATTGAATTGTTTGATACTAATAATATTTTTTTTGGTATCGCAGAATGTGCATATGCAAAATGCTACTTCCGTTTCTAAGGAATGTAATCTAATTTAAAAAGGTCTATAGGCCTACATGTTATAAGTAAAGGTATAACATTGTAATAATACTTGGCAGCAACAGATTACCTTTTTGTTTGGAAGTTCAGCAAGAATGCATTTTTTACAATAGGGTTTCTTTTGAAATTGAATGGTTTTTTTTGTTGTTTTTTTTTTTTTTTTTTTCATTCACCAACATCTCAAAAGCATGGCTTGTCAAAGTGACGTTAAGAAAAATGAAAATTAAAAAAACTAAATGTATGAATATCCTCCCCCATTCCACAACACCACCCCACAGCCACCCCCCCCCCCCCAAAAAAAAAAAAAAAAAAAAAAAAAAAAAAAAAAAAACGTTGATCTTTATGGAGATTATGTGTAAAATTCTAATTATATTTCCATTTACAAAATCCCGGGTAAATATATGTGAGTTTCTTGGCAGTGCTATTTTAGAGAATAGGATGTATCGTCAAGCCAATGAGCGGGTACTGAAATGGTAGCAAACTTGGTTTGTTGCAAACTTCACAGAACAGCCACTACGTGACGCTTGCCAGTATTGCTCAGGTAAGTGTGTTTGTATGTTGTTTTGAAATATTTTAATATGAAATTAAGATACAAGGGGACCCTTCACACTTGTACAAAATCGAATCCGCAACGAAATTGGACGAAAAGAGTCGAAGCAGTGGAGTCAGGCGCCTTGTATTTTTTACGCACATTCACATATCAATAAGGAAGAAACATCGAAAACAAGCAGCGCGCACGGAGTTTTCACGGACGTTGTACATGAGCTAGGGCTTCGAGAGTTACATTTCTGTAAAGCGGACCCTTCACACTTGTACAAAATGAAACCCCACAAGGGAATGGGACACCTACGACTTTTTATTGGGCGAGGGGGGGTTTATATTTCTGTAAAGGGCCTCACACTTGACAAAATTGAAATCCGCAATTAGGAAGAGGGGTGTCGAAGCAGGGACCAGGGGCTTGTTTTTTATCACAATTAACATAATAAGGGTAAATAAAACGGGTCTGTGGGTCGCGGGGGTCCCCTTTTTCCCCCGTTTAGGGCTACAACCATTTACCGGCGGCAGTGAGGGCAGATACTGCTATGGAGTATTAAATTACCGATCGGTTACAGGTGGTTAAAAAAATTTGGGTTGGTTTTTAATTTAAAACCCGCCCATTAAAAGCTAAAAAACATTGTCCATTGAAGGGAAAACTGAAAGGAAATTTTGCTCTTTTTTCCTGTTTTAAGCATTTTCAGCGGAAAAGTGACCCTGGAAAAAATCCGTGAAAATGTCTGTTTTCTGTTCAAAATAATCTCAAGTTTTAAGTAAATGGCAGGATTTCCTGTTATCTATATAGACTTTTATCCATTGGGGGTCACGCAAGCCAAATATCTACCCGTGTGAGTCTTTTCTTGAAAAAATTTTACAGACGCTCAATCTTTGTCCGGTCGAAGAAAAAAAATGCTGCCGTTGTAGGCAGATACATATTATAAATGCTGCCGTCGATGGCAGAAATACCACGAAAGTGGCTAACATTCTGACAGAAAATCAAGTTCAATCTTTTATCAATTCCTCTTTTCTTTGCGTCCTTTTTAGTCGGAATTGGACGTTAATTAACTATCATTTCTAATATTTTCTCAAGATAGAAAAGTTATTTTTAAAATGCGGTGTGTGCATCGAAAAAAGCTTTTTAGCAACATGGCAGTTACAATACAAAAAGTAATGATTTAGTCCGACAAAATTTCACTATAAATAGAGAAATGAACATGAAAAACTTCATTTTTCTATATTCATGCATGTGTTGCTTGATCTGTTCATATGAATTGAAAGGTCAAAAAAGAAAAAAGAATATAACAAATCAAAAAAATCTAGTTTTTTTCCTATAAATAACAGGATTTATTTTCAATCTTGTGATATGAATCATCGAAAGGTTCATCTTTATAAGTTGTCATGGTTACAACTAAAATGAATGAAAAAATATATAGTTTAATGGGAGCACGTGATGTTAGAAACTGTTGTTAAATAGTTTAGCATAGTAAATGTAATTCAAAGGCAAACTACAACGCTGTTACAAACATGAAAAATTTAAAGAAATGAATCCACGTTGTCGTGTTTTTTCAAGAACTTGATAATATAGGAAAATTTTGAACTGTCAATAATATTATCTTTCCATTTTAACATTAACATACATTGTTTTAAATGGATACACTGATGCCAGTTGCGAGGTTAATAGTCTCCCTTTTATTACATCAATTTAATAATTTATAATCTGCGCCGATTAAGTAAATTTCAGCCTTTATTTGTCATAAAGCGATTAACATTATTTACCTCGAGAAAAAATAATGTCATATGCTAGCAAATGAATATCCACTTACAGAAGTTACTTGCTGTAATATGCAATTTGCGTTATGTCTTTACAAAGGGAGTGCGCTACTAAAACTTAAGATACATATAGTATTGTATGCATGTAAACTGACAGACACAACAGATCAAGCACAACATGCATGAATATAGAAAAAATGAAGTTTTTCATGTTCATTTCTCTATTTTATAGTGAAACTTTGTGGTACTAAATCATAACTTTTTGTATTGTAACTGCATATTGCTAATAAGCTTTTTTTTTCGATGCACATACCGCATTAATGAAAAAAAAAAATCTACAAAACAGCAATTTTTCTTCAAAATTATATGTGAGGCCATGTTTTAACATGGAAAAAAACGCGTTTGGGGGAATTTCGTTTTTTTTTTTCATCATTTTCTGTTAACCTATTACCAGTATATATACGCCTTTCTACGCCTTTTTCACTCCCCCCCCCCCGTCCTTTTTTGCTTTCTCAAAATGGTGAAAAAATGCCTTATTTAGGCCCCCCAAACACTTGTTTTTGTTTGATAAAATGTTGTTTAAAAAAATTGACCACTTTTTCGGCGCGGCCCCCACCCCCATCCAAAGATACATCAGGGGTTGCCAGAAGGGGATGTGCCCCCTTCTGTTTGGGGTTTGAAGGGGGCTGAGTCCCCCTCATCGCCAAGAAAACTTTGGACTTGTGGGAGGCTAAAAATGGCCCCAGGTCGATCATAAGGTAACGTGTAACCAATGCTGAAAAGCCTTTGACTCTATCTCAATCCATTTGAGAAGTGGCAGCACTTTGTAATCAATTTAGATGGAAAAAAATCAACGCAAAATAGTGATTTTTTGCCAATTTTGAGATGTCCCCTAGTTGCTATATGGTAACAGGAAAATTTCAGACTGAACATGTTTGTTAAACAAGAGGCAATGGTCTTGTCAACAACATGTGCCAAGTTTGATTAGTATTGAAGCAGTTTTTATAGTTTTATTAGCAACTTGAACTTGTAACGGGAGACCTTTCAATGAAAACAGCCATTTTTCACAAGATGCTCATGGGTAATGGGTTAATAACTTTCTATCTTGAGAAAATATTAGAAATGATAGTTTAAAACGTCTCAATTCTGACTAAAACGACGCAAAGAAAAGAGGAATTGATAAAAGATGAACTTGATTTTCTGTCAGAATGTTAGCCACTTCATTGTATTTTCTGCCATCGACGGCAGCATTTATAATGTGTATCTGCCTACAACGGCAGCATTTTCTTCGACCGGACAAGATTGAGCGTCTGTAAAACTTTCAAGAAAGACTCACGGGGTAGATATTTGGCTTGCGTGACCCCAATGGATGAAAACGTCTATATTGATAACAGGAAATCCTGCCATTTACTTAAAACTTGACATATTTTGAACAGAAAACAGACATTTTCACGGATTTTTCCAAGGCTTTCACTTTTAACCTGCTCAAAATAGTCTGAAAACAGGAAAACACGAGTCCAAAATTACCTTACAGTATCTCCATTCAATGGACAATACTTTTATAGCATTGAAATGGGCCGTATTTGTGTAATATAATTAAACCAACCAAATTTATAACCTACCTGTACCGATCGGTAATTTTCAGATATCTGCCATCACTGCAGTGATCTGCCATCACTGCCGCCGGTAATACGGTGTGGCTATGAGCCTTACATTTTTGTAAATGTGACCCTTCACACAGTGGACTCATGCGCCTTGTTTATTTACGCACATTTACATGATAATGATGTCACAACATTAAGCGGGCCCGCCACGAGTTCTCACGGTCGTTCACTGGCTCTAGGGCTTTGAGTCTTACATTTCTGTACAGGGGATCCTTCACACTTGCACAAAATCGAATCCGCAACGGAATCGGACGGATGGTGTCAAAGCAGTGGCTGGGGGCGTCTTGTGTTTTACATACATTTACAGATTCGTAAGAACGTAACAAAGAAAAACGTGCCTCGCGCGGCGTTCTTACGGTCGTCCCACTAAGGCTAGGGCTTTGAGCCTCACATTTCTGTAAAGGGGACCCTTCACACTTGTACAGAATTGAATTCGCAACGTAATCGGATAGATGGTGTCGAAGCAGTGGCTATGGGGACGATGTGTTTGTACGTACATTTACATATTAATAAGGACCAAACACCGAAAACGGACCACGCGCGCCGAGTTCTCACGGTCGTTCCACTAGAGCTTGGGCTTTAAGCCTTACATTTCTGTAAAGAGGACCCTTCTCACCTGTACAAAATCGAATTCGCAACGGAATCGGACGGATGGTGTCGAAGCAGTGGCCGTGATGTGTT